AAAACAAAACACCAAGCTTGGAAGGAGGAGTGGCATCCACTTCCATAATAGCTTGCGGCTGGAAACCCTATGAACCTGGAAAGAGGATGAAAGACACCAAAGTGTTGAGGACTCTCCTTCATAGGGTCGCTATGAGCTGCCTGCGACTCGACGGCACTTAACAACAACAACAATATGTATTATCGCGTGTGTGTGTGTGTGTGTGTAAAATAATGTATACTAACAGGAGCTCCAGTGGTCTAGTGACAAGAGGCTGCTCTGCAATCCTGAGGGCATGTGGTTCATGGCCACCAGCTGCTCCACAGGAGAAGAATGGGCAAAATCTCCTCCCATGTTATCTAAAACCCAGTGGATGATCAGCTGTGGGTCAGTTCTGACTCTATGGTACACAACAGCAACAAATATATATATATATATACCACATTTTTTAAAAAAGGAATCCACACCCTGGCTCCTGACCCCCATCCTTGAAGGCCTCCTTCCCTCTGTCCTCTGTAGCTCTCACCATGCTGTCTTAGAGCTGAGCATATAAAACCATGAAGAGGCAGTTTTAACTCTCATCAGCCTGTGAGCTCTGGCCCTGAGTGGCCCAGAGCCCTGGAAACCTGGGTTCTGACAGCCGCTCTACTCCTGAGGAGCCGAGGTTCCTGGAGCCAACAGCCTCTCAGCCAAAATGGGTGTGATCCAGCTGACCTCTCAGGACTTTGTGGATCTGGGTCTCTGGGTCATCTCTAGAACCTCTGGCTGAGGCAAAAAAGTGAGGTTTTTGCCAGGGAGAGAGCCAAACGGGACAAGGAAGTAGAAAATAACAACCACAGTTACAACGGCCATTTATTAAGCAGCTACAGTGTGCACATCACAAGCTCTGGTGACACAGGGGGTCAAGCAATTGGCTACTAAACCAAAGGTCAATGGTTCAAGCCCACCAGTGGCTCCGTAGGAGAAAAATGAGATGCTCTACTTCCATAAAGATTGCTTCCTGGAATCCCATGGGGCCCTTTCCTACAGGGACTCTGTGGGTCAGAGTTAACTCGATGGCAGTGGGTGGGTTTCAGTGGGCATTTATATCCCTGCACTTAGCATTTGACACAGTTATTGTATCTATCATGAGGAAACTGCCAGGGATGATGAATGTACCATCTACTGTTTGCAGAGCACCTGCTTTGCAACAGGAAATGTGTTTGAAGCTCTAGACAAATGGACAGGGGCTCACAGAGAGATAGAAAGCTCCCCAAGACCACTGTACCCAGAAGAACCTTCACAGAAGGGCATTTTGGGAGTGTGACTTCTCTTGCCACTGACCTTTGGGCCTGGCTTTAGAAATGAAGTGGAGTAGATAAGAGCTGCCCCATGGGGCAGAGCCCTATTGATTTTAGGCTTAAGACCCAATGTCAAAACTTGTACTCCAAACAGAAACACTGCAGGTCAGAGCTCACCAATGCCAGGTGGAATCCTGGGCCATCCCAGCCTCTAGGACCCCAGGACTGCCTCTCCTTGGCTCTGATATAGGTACCCAAGGTAGGAGCCAAGACTGGGCCTCTTCTCCAATGAAGTCAGTCCCTCTAGCGGTTTGACCAGGTACAGGCCACCTCCCCTCCCGGGGACAGTTTCCTCAGTGTTTACCAAGGATCACAATGTCAGCTTCAAAACATGATACACAAAACTCCTCACTGAGTGTCTGGACTAAATGAGAGATCCTTCCCTCTCTTCTGGTTGCAGGCTTCAGCTGGTCTCTGTCAATAAGCACTTGATGGAGTAGCCTGCAGAAGTTTTGGAATAGTCATCTCTCGGTCTCTCTACCAAGTCTACCAGGCTAGGGTGACCTTCAGGTCCAATCAGTAGTAATACAAGGAGTGAGTTCCCTGACATTAGAGGAAAACATGAAGAAGATGAAGAAAATTTGTTTAAACAACTTCCCTTCAAAAAACCTCTCACTGCCGTCAAGTCAGAACTAACTCACAGCTGACCCTGTAGTGGGTTTTTAGAGACTGTAGATCACACAGGAGATTGCCCATCTTTCCCACGTGGAAGCGCTGGTGGATTTAAACCACCTGCCTCTGGGTGGGCAGTACAACTCTTTTTTTTTTTTAAGTGTAATTTCCATTTTATTTTCAGACGAGTTTTTTCTTCAGCCTTTTAAGGAATCAAATCCTTACATGGGCTTTGGTGGTGGTCATGGGGCAGCACCTGCAGGTCTACACCGAGGTGGAGGTGTCCGGTCCTTTCTGGATTCACGAGAACGGTTCCTCACCACCTTTCTGTGAATGGCACAACTCACACAGTAGTGTAGTTTCACATAGAGCTTTGGAAGCACATAGGTGTTGAAAACACTCGCTTCGGAAATGTCCCTGACAGCAGCTGTCTCTACTATATTTAGGATTACGAACTTCTTAATTGCCTTGTCTTTGGGCACGCACCTGGGCGCAGTTCGTGCAGCGAATAGGCTGCACGTGGGTGGCTGCGGCCCTTTTTGGCACGACCATTGTTTCTCCTTTTCTTCATCATGTTGGAAGCGAGGATCCGAGAGAGGAACGGCAGTACAACTCTTTACCCACTAGGCCACCAAAGCTTCCTGAGGAAACCATATGCTGCTATTGCTGTTTGCTGTCAAGTCGCATTCACTCATAGCTGACCCTCCAGTGGGTTTTCAGAGGCTGTAAATCTCACAGGAGGAGACTGCCCATCCTTCCTCTGTGGAGCAGTTAGTGGATTCGAACTGCGATTCAGATTTGGAATTGCAGCATGGGATCTTACCACTAGGCCAGCAGAGCTCCCTTAAGTATCCATCGATTCTAAGTAAAACATGATTATCTTAAAGGAATTCAGAAGAGGGGGCGGGGTGGAAAGCAGTGTGGAGCTGTAAAACGTCCTGTGGCCTGAACCATGTTCTTGCTCTCTCTGGACCTTCGTTTCTCCATCCTCCCAGCAGGGTGCAGCCCTGGCAGCCTGGGACTGAAGCCAGGGCTGCCACAGCCTCCTTAATCAGCTTTCTCGGCTAAAGCCGGCTCCCACATCTGCACACGTGGCCAGTACTCACCTATGAGGGTGCTGCTGACCGTGCCCTTCCCCTGGCAGTTAAGCACACGCAGACTGCGCAGGCTGACGCCCTTGGCCACACCAGCATCCCGGCCGCTGACCACACCTGCCAGATGAGTACCATGGCTGCCACACTTGCTTGCCTGCTCAAACAATACAAAAGCATGCATGTGAGAAAGTCCACCTGCCAGGAATCGGTCAGAAGTCACCAGGTGATCGGCAGCAATGCTGCTATAAAGCTCTGGGGTGGAGGTGAAGTCAAGCAAACCACCTTCTGTCCAAATCAGTCAGAAGGACACTGACCTGTCGGTGGAAACGAGTCCCATCCTCTTCTGGAACATTCTCAAAATCGGTGACTGTGACCCTGCCTTCAATTTCTCGGTGGCCACTCTGGATGCTGGTGTCTAAGAGATAGACCTCCACGATGCTGCTATCGTCTTTCCAAGGCATCGTTTATGAGAGAGGACGACACAATAGTTAAAACATTAATATAATAGCTAACATTTTGTTGTGCTATTGTTGTTGTTATTCAGAGTCTTAGAATCAAATATGATTCAACACTATGAACAACAGATCTGAACTCTGAAATATCCTGTGTCATCCTCACGATCTCTGAAACACTCAAGCCAATTGGTACAGTCACTGTGTCAATCCACTTGGTTGAGGGAAGTTGCTGCCTGATTCCTAGCAATCCCAAGCATAGTGGTTCAGACCATTATGATCAATAAGGTTTGTCATAGGCTAATTTTCTGAAGCTGATAGCCAAGTCTTTCCCCCTAGCCTGTCTTAGTCTGGAAACTCCACTAACACCAGTTTAGCATCATAGTAATTGTGATATGCTGTAACAGTGGTCAGTATAACAACAAATAGAAACTATTTTTATCCTTGTCATTATTCCTAGTACTTTAAATACATGAATTCATTTAAGCTTCTAAACTCCTCTCAAGGTAAATACTGTTATATCTTTTGTCTATCATTGATTATGCAAAGGCATTTGACTGTGTGGATCATAACAAACTGTGGCTGACTCTGAAAAGAATGGGAATCCCAGAACACTTGATCGTGCTAATGCAAAACCTATACTTGGACCAGGAGGCAGTCATCAGAACAGAGCAAGGAAACACTGCATGGTTCAAAATTGGGAAGGGCGTACACCGGGGATATGTCCTATCTCCATACCTTTTCAACCAGTATGCAGAATAGATTCTCCAGGAGGCTGGGCTCTAGGAGAAGAAGTGTGGTGTCAGGATTGGTGGAAGAGCTATTAACAATCTGCATTATGCAGATGACACAACCCTGCTTGCTGAAACTGAGGGAGAACCTGAAGCACTTGCTGCAGAGGGTCAAGGACTGCAGCCTTCAGTATGGACTGAGGCTCAATGTCAAGAAGGCAAAGATTCTCACCACTGGACCAATTGGCAGTATCAGGATGGATAGTGAAGAGAATGAGATTGTTAACAACTTTAGTCTGCTTGGCTCCATGGTCAACACTCTTGGCACCAGCAGCCAGGAAATTAAAAGATGTATTGTGATGGGAAAGTCTGCTGTTAGGGACCTCTCCAAAGTACTGAAGAGCAATTGTATCACTCTGGAGAGGTGCACCCAATATGGGCCATGTTCTTTACAATCACTTGCTATGCACAGAGATCTGAACAATGACTAGGGAGGACAGAAGAAGAATTAATCCCTTTGAGCTGTGGTGTTGGAGCAGAGTATTGAATATATCATGGACCGCTAAGAAAATGAACAGGTTCATCCTGGAGAGGGTTAAACCAGTATGCTCCTTTGAAGCAAGGATTCCGAGGCTTTGTCTGACATACTTTGAACATGCTGCAAGGAGGGACCAGACCTTGGAGAGGGACATCATCCTTGGGAGCGTGGAGAGGCAGTACAGGAGAGGAAGACCCTCTATGAAGTGGATTGATTCAGTGACTGGGGCAATAGGGAAAGGTGTATTGGGGACAGTGAGATTGGCACAGGGCTGGGCAGGGTTTAGGGTTTCTATGAGTTTCATAAGGTTTCTATGAGTCGCAAGTGACTTGACGGCACATAACAACAACAGGGAAAGGCGGTATACAGAGGTTAGGTAACACGCTCAGGGTCACACAGTTGGCAAATGGAAGAGCCAGTATGTGATAGAGGGAGCCTAACTTCTTAATGTTCTTGTTGTTGTATGCCAGCAAGCTGACTACGACTCATAGCAACCCTCAGAACAAGCGTGAACCTTGCCCTATCCCGTGCCATCCCCACGCTCTCCAACAGCTCCAGCCCATTGTTACAGTCACTATGTCAGTCTTCCTCTCTTTCTCTGAAGCGCCACCTTTCCCATCATGATGTTTTTATTCAAAAACTGGCCCCACTTGACACCATGCCCAAAGTAAATGAAATAAAGCTCCACCTTCCTCCTGGTTGCACCTCCTCCAAGACAGATTTGTTAGTTCTTTTGGAAGTCCATGTGTGTTTAGTATTCTTTGCCAACACCAAACATGTTTAAAGGTATCATTTTTTTTTCTTAGGTCATCCTTAATTGTCCAACTTTCAGATGCATTGCAATTGAAATATATAATGGCTTAGATCAGGTGCACCTTAGTCTTTAAACTGAAATCCTTGCTCCTAGCACTTTGGAGAGGTCCTTTATAGCAGCAGATCTACCCAGTGCAACACCTCTTTTGATTTGTTGATACTGCTACTGTGGGTGTTGATTTGTGGGCCTAAGTAAAAACTCATTGATGACTTCAATCTTATCTCCATCTGTGACATTGCCAGTGGTGAGGATTTTTGCTTTGTGTTGAGGTGTAATCCATAGTGAAGACTGTAGTCTTTGATCATTATAAGTAACTGCTTCAAATTTTTGCTTTCAGAAAGCAAGGTTGTACCATTGACATATTGTAAAATGTTATAAAGTCTTCCTCCAACCTTGAAGCCCTCTTCTCCCTCACATAGTCCAGCTTCTTGGACAATATAAAGGCCATTTATAGCTTTTTGTTCCATCTCTGTGAGATATCTTAGAATTTGAAGATAAAGGATGAGCTAAAAGGGACATCTGAGTTATTGGAGCTGGTCTCTAATCTCACAGATGGGAAACCGAGGCTCAGAAGATGTGTGAGCCTGGGCCTCCTGGCCCCAAGTCCTTGGCTTTCTCCACTCAAGGAGCCTTGCTGGGCCAACAGTGACTGAGTGTAACTGACCGGAGTTAGTCACAGAGAAGCTAGTAGTGTTGGAACTAAACTATCACAGTATTACCACACACACATTCTGGTTTCTAACTGAGTCAGCTTAAAGGCTCCAACAGACAGGCACCAAGACAAAAGTAAGCCTGCAAAAGACTTCCAGGGAGACATGCCAGAGCAGGATCGGGGCAAAGAGCAGAAGGTAGGGATAACATGCAGACAGTGTGGCCCCTGTGAGGGAGAGTGTCGAGGAAGAAGAGTTGGGAGAACCCCACATTGCAATAATGTCTGAAAGGCCTCACAACCAACAGAAGGGCTGTGTGTGAGAAAGCCCACTGCCTAGTAACATGGTGGCAGGTCAATGGGAGACCCCAGAGAGTGCCCATAGAGGAATTAAGCACTGACCTAGCCCAGTGCCCCTGCCATGCTCAGTCACAGGCTGGGAAGTCCAGGGGAAGCAGAGCCGAGGTGTGAATTTGTGGTGGTTTCAAAGGGGCAGCCTGGAGGTGGTCCGTCAACTCTGCTTACTCCCTACAGCTCCTCACTGTGGCTGCCCACTTATCAAGAACATCATGCTTGAAAAAGCAGGTCAACCAATAAACAAAGACCCTTAGTGCGATAGATTGACGCAGAGGTTATAATAACTGCACAGCAGTAGGATCATGTTGCGTTTTGTTCTATTGTATGTGGGTGAGTCAGAATCAACTCAACAGCACCTAACAACAGCAACAGCCTCCAGAACTGTAAGACAATATATTTCTGTTTGAATAAGCCACTCATTTTGTGGTACTTGTTAACAGAAACCCCAGGAAACCAATATAGAACCACAGAAACTTGACTGGTGTTTGGAGATGGAGCAGAAGAGAGGGCAGCTCAAGCAGGGCTAGAGTTTTTCTCGGTAGAGTTTAATTCTCTCCTCAGGACAATTGGGAGTCACTGAGATCCTGGGGGAGGCGGGGGGGATTTCACTCAGATTTATCCCCGCCTCCAGGCAAGTGCATGGCTGCTAAGCAAAAGGTTGGCAGTTCAAACCTACCGACTGCCTCCTTGCCAGAAAAACGTAGAGATTGTTATTGTTGTTATGTCATTGAATCCCTTGCGACTCATAGCGACCCTGTGTACAACAGTTCTGAACCCGGCTCTATCTTGGGCCAGTCTCATCATCTCTGACACACTTACAGCCCAGAAGACCCGATGGAGCCATTACTCTGCCACAGAGGGTCATTATGAGTCAGCATCTACTTGATGGCATTCAGCAGCATCAAGGAAAGTGGATCTGGGCCGTTCTAAAGGAAGGAAACAGCAGCCAACCGCCTTTTGAAGGTGGGAAAAGATTCACTTGAGCAAAGGTTTCTGCCTTCTCCCTGAGGTAATAGGGAGGCACAGGACCTGCAGGTGGTGGAGGTTGAGGACCATGGGCAGAGATGAGAGACCCAAGAGCAGAACAAGCAGTTTCAGCTTGTAGAGTGGGGGCGGCAGGATGCAGGCAGGGTCTTACTGGAGTGTAGGTGGTCATCCAGCTTGTGCTGAGCAGGGTTGATCCGCGCTAAGTTCCATGGGATGCTCTGAGCAAAAACGAAGGAGTCTTCCTCAATGTATTCAACGTGGGGCAGCCGCAGGGCCTGCAGGAGACAGAAGCTGAGGAATCTGCTTCAAGTGCAATTTGTACAACCATGGCCCCTGTCTAACCTGATCAAAGCTGCCCTCGGGTCACACTCATGACTCCACATCTTCCTGGTGCCCAGAACCACAGCCTTGTTCCTTCCTGCAGGAAACCACAGCCTAGAAGCCAGGGCGTTCTCTCTCTCCCAAAAAAGGCTGGGCAGTCTGGACCTCTAAAAGCTCAGCCCTTAAACCAAACATGGCTCTGAGGAACCCTCTTAAGAGAAAGTATTACTATGACATCTAGTCTGGATAGCCAGGCTCTAGGCAGGCTGGAGCAGAAGTCGACCTTAGGACCTGAATAGACCTGGATATGTCTCCTAAGTCATGGTCGCCACACTGGTAATTCTGTTTCTCTGTCCTCCTCAAAGCCCAGGAGGCTCAGCCTGCCGACAACAGACCAAGGTTCCCCTGATCCTAGCTGGGTCAGTCAAGGGGAGACTTCAGCAGAGTCTTAAGGGTTCTGTCAGTGAGTGACTGCGTCCTTCTATGACCACATGTCCCCGGATAACATCCCTCCTCCATGCCACCAGCTCACTGTGGAAGTGGAAATACTTACTATGTCCTCTCCTCGCCCTCCAGACTTAGCGATGGTATCACCTCCCATTGCTGGTACCCACTCTCTGGGTACCTCAGTTTCCCCACAATTCTTGTATCCCTTCACATACCCCAGTGAGTTTCTGTGCCTGGCAAATGCTCAAACACTTCCTATCTCGTTGACTTCTTAAATGACTGCTCCTGTGGTTAGTCCAGATAGGAGACTGAGCCTCAGTGAGGTAAAGAAAATTCACATGAAGTTAGACAAACTTCATGACTATTTGGAAAGTAGGGGACAGGATGCGTGCAGGGTCTTACTGGGGGGCTGATGACCATCCACCCTGTACTGAACAGGGCTAATCTACTCTATGTTCCATGAGATGCTCTGAGCAAAGGCAAAGAAGGCTTCCTTGATATATTCAATGGTGGGCGGTACACTTCATCTGCAAGAGATGCCTCTCTGCTACAAAGATGAGCAGAGACTTGAACCTGAGCTGGTGTGGTGCCAATGCCCAGCTCTCAATGACAAATGTCTTGGCCTTCTCTCCCCTGAGAGACTTCCTTGGTCTGCAGCCTTGTGCTTGCTACCTGGGCAGTGGGTCAGTTCCCACCATGTGGTACATTGGTAATCCCGGGCCAGCCTCACCTGCTCACTGTGACGTTAGAAGAAAGAGCTGCATCTCCTTCATCTCTGAATCCTTGACGTGGTTGGTGGGTGCTTGCTAAGTGTGTACTCAGCAGATAGATTAAAGGTGTTTGTTACTTGTCTTCCTCATAGACTAAGTGGCTGGACTCTGTCTCATCTATGTTACTGCCCCACAGGATGAACTGAACTGCACCATGTGGTGGTCATGCAGTGGAGCTGAGACACCTGGGTACACAACTGGGTCTACCCATTCTGTGCCACGTAACTCCAGACCAGAGCCAGCCCTGCTTGGAGCCTCAGTGTCTGTAGAAGGCTGAGAGACACACAGTCAAGTAAAGGACAGTATGGAAATGAAAACCGTGTGTCTTCATCAAGTAGAGTGGGAATGGGAATTTGCATTAAAGACATATGGACCGAGAAAAGTGCAACAATGAATGAACGGAAATCCTCAGTCTCTGTAAACTTTCATTAAAATTCATAATAATAACAACATTTAAAAACAGACAAACAAAAACCCATATGACCACAGTTAGGAGGAGGACCTGCAATTCTTACCCACCCAGCCTCCTTCCTGTCACTTCACCAAAGCTGTGACACTGGGGCCAAGCTTGGCAGAAGACCCTGTCCTAGAGGAGGAGCCTAACTCCAGAGAGCATCAACTTTGTATAATATAAATTATATAATAAGCAATTTCTTCCCCAGTCTCTGAGTCTCACTGAGCGGCACATGCACTTTTTCCCTGCAGGCTTCTCCTAAGCATAGGCTGACTATGGGTTTGATTCCAACTCTGCCTCTAACTGGCTATGTGGTCCTTCCTGAACCTCGGTCTCCTCATCTTTCAAATGAAGATGAAAGTATGCAGCCTGTCATGTGTAGAGGCTGCTCTACACATAAACGCAGGAGCCATTGTTCTTGGTACACTGGAAGTGCTCAACAAACGTCAGCTATTTCCTTCTGAATTTCAGTGATGGATGTGCTAAGGACCATCCCCAGGATTGAGGTGATAGCACAGCCCCCTCAGGAGTTTCCCAGCCCGGGAGGCTCACCAGGTCCAGCAGGTCACCACTCATCCTCACTACAAAGCCGGGGAAGAGATCGTGGAAGATGTGCAGGATTTTGGTGAGGTAGCCCCGGTGGGCAGCACGGGACTGCAGAAGGTGGGCAGTATGCTTCGTCTGTGAGAGGTGAGTCTTCTCCTTCAGGACAACCACATAGGTGCCCGGTAGTCTCCAAGCATCCTGAACCAGAGCAGGGAGGAGTGACACGATAACATTTAAAAAAAAAAAAGAAAGAAAGAAAAAAGGCCCACATGAACTTGTGTCCCATATGCATTTAGAAAGAATTACTATAAACAGGCACAACACATACAATGAAGCATAATAAACTAAAAAAAAGAAATTAGCAAATCAGGAGCCAAAAAACCCTCCCAAACCACACACTGGCCAACTATTAGTGTTGACATAGTTTATGCAACTCGTTGGCAGTAAGGCGAAAATCAAACTGTGGGCCACAGTCAATAGCAGGTTCTCCTCTGGACCCGCAGCCCACACTCATATATGCCTTTGGAGGCTACCCAGCTATGAATGAAGGCCTTCCTAGCTAGACTGTCCCCTGTGCCCTATTAAGAATAGAGCACCTCCCCTCCATTCTGGTGCAGCCGTGATTACCCTCCAGAGACAAGCTAGGGAAACATCAGGGGCTCACATCTTTAATTCCAGGCACTTATCAGACCATGTATGTGTGAGCCCTTGTGTTTACTTTGAGGGTGATGTTAGTTACCATCTAGTCTCTTCCTATCCATGGTGACCCTGTGTGCACAGGGTGGAACAGCTTTATAGTTTTCAAGGCTGTGAGGTTTTGGAATCAGATCACCAGACCTGCCTTCCAAGGCTCACCTGAGGGTGTTCAAACCAGTTTTAGTTCAGAGTTGAGTGCACAACTGTTTGTGCCACGCAAGTCTGCCACAAATGGGCTTTCTCTCTCACTGCCATCCAGTCAGACCCAAGTCATAGCTGACCCTCCAGCAGGTTTTCAGAGGCTGTGAATTGCACAGGAAGAGATTGCCCATCTTTATCCCTAAGAGCCACTCGTGCATTCAGACCAACCACCGGAGAGGTGCTGCTTTTGGGTTAGTGGTGCAAGTCCTGACAGAAAGTTGTAGCCTCACATCTCAACCCCAGTGTTTGCTGACTGACTGTGAACAAGTTGTTAACCTCTCTGCGCCTCAGATGCCTCCTCTGTATTACGCAGCCAACAATACCCATGCCATAGACCTGCTGGGAAGGCTAAGAGAGATGACTACATAATACACACAGCCCGACACTTTGCAAACTTGCAGAGATGGAAGAAATGACGGAGTGAGCAAAGACAGCATTTCTCAAGGCAGAGTGGGAAGAGGAAGAATTCAAAGCCGTGGAACAGGCTCTGTGTATCTTTGTTAGCGCTTGCTGGCTCCTTCTGCCCTGAGGCGCTCACTTGCTCAAGCACATTCAGTGGCTTCCCACAGACTGATGGGAAAAGGCCAAGCTCCTTATAGCAGGCAAGGCTGCCTTTTGCTTCTGCCTTGACCCACCTCTGCAGCTTCATCTCCCACATTTCAATATACAGAGGAGAGATCACAGTCTCTTACCTAAAACAATAGGGTCGAATGGATTTAAAAATTAAGAATTTATTTGGATTTTAGAAAGGTTGTACTGGGTATTCTGAGGAGCCTACAGCAGCATCTTGTAAGCTAACTATGCAGCAAAACAAAGGACTATGAATATTCATACAGGCGAATAAATAAATATCATAAATAATCTCATGTCAGCTCATATCGGGTTTTACCATCAATTAAATGACAATAAATCTTTTTCATTCTTAGAACATTTTTCATTTCAGAAGACAGGGACCTGTGCTCCTAGTCTCCCAACTCTGGGCTTTGTTCTGGATACTCCCTTCGCCTAAAAGGAAACTCAGTGAAAACTTTGAACTCCTATTTATGCTTCAAAAGCTCATCTAAAACACTCTATGATAAATGAAAATACAATTAATTTTGAGTGTACAGTGTAGAATGTGTTTTCCCCTGGAAGTAAGACTTCCCTTCTCTGAGTCATGGTTTCTCAGAAATAACAGTGAAAAAAAAAAATCTCTGTCACTTGTTCAGAACTGACATATAGCTGACCTATAATCACATGGGAGGAGATTGCTCATCTTTCTCTGCTCTGATGGATTCGAACTGCTGGAGAGGTGAAGCCTTCGGATTAACAGTGCACCTCCCTATAGACAACACCACCAGTAGATCTAAAATCTTTTCCTGCCTGCCAAAAATATTGTCATGCTAAATTTGATTGACACAAAATATTCAATGAACAAGACAAACAAACTGTAAGCAGATCCTGTTCCAAATATCCACTTGGGAAGAAATATTCTTAATTATTAGATTCAAGGGCCCCTCTAGCCGCCTACTTACCAATATGAGGTACTCATTATTTCAAGAACAAATATTTGGGAGCAGTGGTGAAATGGGGGGAGGGAAACAACTTTTGTCACAGCCTAGCTAATGAAAGCCTCATGGAACAAAGAGTTGTCTTTGAACTGAGTGAAAATCTCTCCCGCTGGCTGATTCACTTGCACAGGCAGTGCTGAGGACCTAAGGTTGGCTGCCCCAGAACACTCCTCGCAAAGACTGGGGTCAGAGTGGAAGAGTGGACCAGGCAGCTGGTAACAGGAGAATTTATTCCTGTGTCCCTAAAGCTGTGCCCAAACGTGTACCTTCTACAGTCATCTCTTCCCAGGTTTCCATAGGGAGGGCAGAGAGGAACCAGAAAGCCCTTTCCTTCATTCCACCATTTCTTGGCTACTAAACCTTCATAACCTTCCAGAAGGATCATCACTTTCTTTCTACAGATAAAGAATAAGAAGTTCAAGGATGTGGAGTAATGACTTGCTAGCACCTCACAGCTAACAATGACAGTGCCAGGGTTTAAACTCAGATCTGACTCCAAGCCTAGGCAACAGACCTCCCCTGAGCTCTTGGAAGGTAATAAAATAATGGGAACCAGAGGCACCTCCAGCCCTAGGAGTGTGGGAGGAGTGTCCCACAGCCCCAGACAGAGGCTAACAGAGAACTTCAAAGAGCTCGCCCTGTACAGTCCTCCCCACCCGCCCCCATTTCGCAGATAGCCAGATGGCCCTTACAGGCATGCCTGGCCTTCCTCCCCAGCCCCAACTTCAAGAGCTCCAAGTCTTGAAGAACAGCCTCATCTATATTAAGAATAAACTCCATCCCTTTGCCTTTTGTCTTGTTCTTTTGGTTGAAAAGGATGCAGTATTAAAATACGAGTTTTGTGGATGAAGAAATCACTTCCTGTCCCCAACGTTTGCCTTGTCTCTCAGCCTCTGCTGCCCTGAGCGGCACCTTTTCGCTCCAGGACCCCATCTCCACTAACTACAGACAACTCCCACTACACATTATATCCACCGAGCTTATTTCCCGAGCCAATTCTGAATTCATAATAGCAAGCCTGTTTATTCTCTTTGCCAGGTGCCGTTCAGAGCACGTTCCAGGCTTTAGTTCGTTTAACCACCCGAGTCACTGAGGTGCCCAACATCTGAAATTTGGCCCGGCCACTTCGGACGTGCTCTGCCCGGGTCTGTCTCGCACCTAGACGCGCCTTGCCCAGCGCGTGGTGCTGCCGTGCGCCCTCCAAGCCGGCTCATCCTAACGCGTGAACCACCCTCATCTTCCCGCCACTCTGGCTGGAGAAGCCACGGGGCCTTCACTTTCCCCCCAAAACAGGACTCCGGTACTGGCGAAGACTTGCCACCCAGCATTCGTCCCGGCAGCGGGTGGTTCCCGCGTCCCAGGACTGCGCGGCGAGCACACCTTGGAGCAGCGGTAGAAGGGGGCAAGGACGGCGTGCCGAGCCGCGTCTGTTGGGCGGTCCTCCTCCAACGCCAAGGAGAGCACCAGCTCCTCGTAGTCGGTGTCTTCATCCTCCAGTGCTCGGGCGCCCGCGGGACCCAGGAGCAGCGGCAGCAGGAGCAGCAGCGACCACCGCGGCCGCGCCATCCGTGCAGGAGAGCTTGGTGAGCTGGCTGAAACCCGGAGACGCGTGCACGGGCCCCACCAGCCCCTCCCAGTCCCTGGCAGGGCGGAAGACGCGCAGCGGGGGACGCACGAGAGGGTTCGCCCGGGTCTGCGAGCTCGGTTCTGCGCCCTGCCGCGCCGTGACCTGACCCAGGGCCCCTCACTGTCTGGCTCCCTCCTGCTGACTGCGTCCTGGAGCTGAGTCCTGTCTTCACCTGTAGCCAACGCGCTCCTCGAGGTCGCTCCGGAAACATAGGGCGTGAACCGCTATGCCTGGGATTGGGGAGATCACGCCACCAGAGCCCCATCGAACGATCCGATTTGATTAAACATTAACGGAGCCCCAGGCCCCAAGGATCAAGTTTTGGCCTCTCTCTCCACAGAAAGCGTCAGATTACGTTTGGGGTGGGGTGTGTGTATGAAGGCACTCCTAAATCCCAATTGGGCAGAAAGGTAGGGCCCCTCTCTGGGTGTCGCCTCTCAGTCCCTTATCCTGAGCCCTACCAACTGCACGGACAGACCCTAAATTTTGCTCAACCCACCCTGTCAGTGCCTAGCCCCACATTTCTTACCCTAGTGATGTAAAACCACCCTTCAGTGTCCGCCCCCTAGCCTCGTTAATCAGTGTGTCTACCCTCATTGCACAGACCTGACCTTGGCATCCCTAGCTTTCTGAACTTAGCCTTGACCCTCTACCTCTGCCCCTTATGCACAGGGCAAGCAAACTCACCAACCAGTTTTTCTTTGATGACACTGTTGGCTATCCCGTCCCTGTGTGCCAGCCCTGCTGAATGGACGATCTTACTCCAGCCACTCCAGGAACTTCTATTGGTCCTTCAAAGTTCAATCCTGACACCACCTCCTCCGTGAAGCTTTCTCGGAACTGCTCCCTCCCCAGCACCCAGCTGTCCACCCAGACTTGTCAGACTGTGGGTTCACTCCTGCCAGCACAGTGCCTGGCACAAAGACGGTGCTGCAGAGATGCTATTTGAATGAAAGAACTTCCTTGAGCTGTGAAAATGTTCAGATCAGATCTGAGGTGCCTTTGAATTGGAATCATTCACAGTGACCCTCAAGTGACAGAGTGTAACTATAACATGGACTTTCCTGGATGCAATCTTCAGGGAAGCAGGTCACCAGACTTTTCTTCGCAAAATGCAGACAAGCTGAGTGGATTTGAATTATCAACCTTTCAGTTAGCAGCTGAACCCTTAACCCTTGAGCCATCAGGGCTTCTTAATAGTAGTTTGCTATTGTTATGTACCATCAGTTCCCAAATTGTGAAGGTTTTCAGAGGCAAAGGTAGGAGATTGACCATCTTTCTCCTGCTGAGCAAGCTGGTGGATTTGAACCACATGTCTTGGGTTGGCAGTGCAGCTCCTTACCTCTAGGTCACCAAAGCTCCTGCACTGGAGACTATTTTCATCCCTATTCTATGTCAGGAGAGGAATGAATGGGGCAGGGGCATGATGAGACAATTAAATGAGGAAAAGAAAACCCCAAAGTCATGCTAAGAATTACCAGAAATGCAAGCTGGCTTTAGAAGAGGCCATGGCACTAAAGGCTTTATCTCCAAAGTTAAGTGGATCTTGGCAGAAAAAAAAGAGTACCAGAGGAATGTCTATCTGTGATTCATTGACTGTGTTTGACATTTGAGTGTGTAGATTACAACAGATTGTTGCTAATCTTGGGAAGAATGGGAACTCCAGGACACTTAATTGTGCTGATGCGAAACCTGTACCCAGACCAGGAAGCAGTCAGCAGAACAGAGCAAGGAAACACTGAATGATTCAAAATCAAGACAGAAATGTGTCGGGGATTTATCCTATCTCCATACCTTTTCAATCTATAGGTAGAGATCATTCAGGAAGCTGGACTTTATGAGGAGGATTGTGGCATCAGGATTTGAGGAAGACTCAACAACCTATGTTATACAGATGATACAACGCTGCTTGCTGAAACTGAAGAAGATATGAAGCACTTGTTGCAGAAAGTCAAGAACTGTAGACGTCAATATGGATTGAAACTCAACATCACGAAGAAAAAGATTTTCACCACTAGTCCAACTGGCAACATCATGATAGATGGAGAAGAGATTGAGATTGTTAACAATTTCAGCCTGCTGGGGTCCACAATAAGCACTATTGGCAAAAGCAGTCAGGAATTCAAAAGGCTAATTGCACTGGAAAATATGCTGTCAGGGACTTCTCCAGTGTACCTAGGAGCAATGAAGTCAGTCTAGAGACTAAGGTGGACCTGATCCAGGCCATGGTCTTTGTAATTACTTGCTATGCATCAGAGTACTAGACAATGACTAAGGATGACTGAAGAAGAATCGATGCCTTTAAGTTGTGGTGGTGAAGAACATGCCATGGACTTCCAAGAGAACAAATGGCTCTGTCCTATTTGTCCAAGGAGAAGCTGCTCCTTGGAGGAAAGGATTCTGAAGCCCCACTCACATACTGTGGCCATGTGGTCAGGAGGGATAGGTCCTTAGAGAAGGACATCATGTTTGGAAAGGTGGAGAAACACCACAGGAGATGAAGACTCCAGATGAGATGGATTGACTCAGTGACTGGGGGTAGGTGTCAGATTCAGTGTAGGGTTGCTATGAGTCCAGGCAACATGGCACATAACAATAACAGCAACATGCTGAGGGAAAGAAGTCAGAGCATACATGAGTGTGTTGGAGGAGGGTACTGTGGACTCAGGACCAGATCATAGCTAACCCTCCAGCATACTTTCAGAGCTAGTTAATCTCACGAGAGTTGATTGCTCATCTTTCTCTGAAGCAGCATCTGGCAGATTTGAACCACGTGCCTTAGGGTTCACAGTGCAATTTCCTGCCACAGCCACCAAAGTTGCCTCCTAGAATACATACTGTAAATATTTACAGTTCTAGAACAGGAAAAGCAATCTTCGGTATTAGAAGTCAGGTTGGTTGCTACCCTGGAGAACATGTTATGTGCTCATAGTGACTCGGAACCCTGCCCTATCCTAAGCCAATCTCACTGTCGCCAACACATCTACCCCATTACCCTAGTTATCATGCCAATCCATCTTATCTGGGGTCTTCTTCTCTTGCATTGTCCCTCCACCCTTCCAAGCATGATGTCCTTCTCCAAGGATTGGTGGCTCCTGGCCACATGCCCAAAGCATGTGAGACGGAGCTTCAAAATCCTTGCTTCCAAGGAGCAACTTTACTTAACCCTCTCCAAGACGGACCTGCTTGTACTGTTGGCAGTCCACGGTACATTCAATGCTCTTCTCCAGCACCACAACTCAAGGCACCAATTCTTTTTCTGTCCTCCTTAGTCATTAGCCTGGGAAACTTAGGACCTTACTTTTGTTATCATGAATAAAGTGGTCAAAGCAGGCTTGAAATCAGACCCTATTTTGTCCCTCCTTCTGCTTTCCAATAAATAATGAATCTTGGCTTATTCTGTCAGAGAAATTTTGAAGGTTAATGGCTAAAGTATGCTGGCGTTTTCTTTGACTGTGTGTCTTAGTCTAGGTTATCTAAGTAAAACCAGCGAAATATGTATATGTTTCCCCCCAAAAAAATCCACTGTAGTTGAGTTAGTTTCAACTCGTAATGAGCTCCCATTGGATGTAAATCTTGTATATCGTAGATATATGTACACACACAGAGAGGCAGTGTGTGTGTGTGTGTGTGTGTGTGTATGTGTGTGTGTGTGTGTGTGTGTGTATACATACATACATATTCAGAGAGAAGAGAGAGAAAGGGAGGGACTGGGAGGGGAGAGGAAGAGAGAGTATATATACATATTGAAAGGTTTATCTATCTGAAGGAAATGGTTCATGAAATTATTGAGCCTGGCAAACCCTAAATTTGTAGGGTAAACAGCCAGCTGAGAAATCTCATGTAGTTCATGTAGCAGCTATGTCATGTGGCCGACAAACCCAAGATCACTACAGGTGGGGCTTGGGAACTCATTAGACCTACAGTAAGACAGACCCAAGCAACACATGCTCCTGCTTTGACTGGTAGACCAACAGTCAGGTCTGGCAGATCTCAGCTAACATCAGCACCAAGGGAGAATGTGAGCAATCTCCTCCTGTCTGATTTACAGCCTTGGAAACCCAACAGAAGGTCAGCTCTGAATCAGTTCTGACTCAACAGCAATGAATTTTAGATTTTTAAACAATATATGTTTGTGTCAATTCATAGTGTCTTTAACTCCCCGAAAGTCTGATGAATACCATTGCAAAAGGTCCTTTTAAAAGATCCTTTTGTGGGAGAAATGTTAATAACATAAATTTTTTTTTTTTACTATTTAATAGGGTCCTCCATCAAGGGGACCCAGCCTTCATTCAAGGAGCTGTGAATATATAAACTGACTCAAATTTGGGACTCGTCTGAAGAGCAGTCACTCTGTTCTGGAGCTTCACGTTAGACTACCATTCATCTGACCTGAAGTTTTTCTGCTTGTACAGACCAAGCAAACATTAAAGTAGGTGTCCCACCTAGTTCACTCCTAGGGACACCACACGTAAATAACCAATGCATTCTGAGTACTGCTTTGTCTCTACTGTTCATTCTGATAAACATTCTCATCTTAACTTTGTCAATTATGTGCTATCACTTGGCCCAACCAGCACAGGATTCAATCAGCTCCATTTTGGTTAGGTTTCTTAATTAAATTGGAGCAGTTACCACTATGAAACCTAACTCACATAAAATAGTAATCACAACACTTCAGGAATGCAGATTCCCTCACAAATTTGTTCCACAGCATTGTCCTCTTAACACTCCATCTGAGTGTCTATTGGTCTAACCTGATAGTCCACCTGAAGATGGCAATTTCCCTAAGTCTATGATTGCTTTGAGTTGGGATAGAGTTAAGGCCATGTTTTTATTCTTGTAGACTTGTTTATATTTTCTTCACCTTCAATTTGAAATTGCACAAGAGTAATTGGTGATTTGTTCCACAGTCAGGTTTTAGCCTTCTTCTGATTGATGATACTGAGTTTTTCCATCTACTATTTCAACAGATGGTGTCAATCTGATTTCTGGGTAGTCTATCAGATAAGGACCATGTATATAATCACCACATATGTGGTAAAGAGATTGAGATTGTTAACAGCTTTAGTTTGCTTGGTTCCACAGTCAACACTCTTGGCACCAGCAGCCATGAAATTAAAAGATGTATCATAAAGAGAAAGTCTGCTGTTAAGGACCTCTCAGAGTACTGAGGAGCAATGGTGTCACTCTGGAGACGAAGGTGTGCCTGATACTGGCCATGGTCTTTGCACTCACTTGCTATGCATCAGAGAGCTGGACAATGACTAGGGAGAATAGAAGGAGAATTGATGCCTTTGAGCTATGGTGCTGGAGAAGAGTACAAAACGTACCATGTACTGTCAGGAGAACAAACAGGTTCATCCTGGAGAGGGTTAAACCAGGCTGATACTTGGAGGCAAGGATTCTGAAGCTTTATCTGACATACTTTGAATATGTTGCAAGGAGGGACCAGTCCTTAGAGAGGGACATCATACTTGGGAGGGTGGAGGGACAGTGCAGGAGAGGAAGACCCTCCATGAGGTGGATTGACTCAATGACTGGAGTAAGGGGGTGGGTGTGTTGGAGACAGTGAGGCTGGCACAGGACAGAGAAGTGTTTAGGGCTGTTGTACTTAGAGTTGCTGTGAGTCGCCAGCAACCTGATGTCACATAATAACAAACAACATTTTTTTAAAAAAGTATTTTCAAGAAGGGATTGAGATTGTTAACAATTTCAGCTTGATTGGTACAACAATCATAAGTAAGGAAACCAAAAGACAAATTTCAGTGGGAAAATCTGCTGTCTGGGACCTTACCTGAGTGCCAAAGAGCAACAATGTCAGTCTAGAGACTAAGGTGTGCCTGATCCAGGCCATGGTTTTTGCAATTACTTGCTATGCACTAGAAAGCTGGACAATGACTAAAGATGACAAGAATTGATACCTTTGAGTTGTGATGCTGAAGAAGAGTATTGAAAATTCTATGGACTGCCAAGAGAATAAAGTTTGTCCTGGAGAGAGTGAAACCAAGGTGTTCCTTGGAGGCAAGGATTTTGAGGCACTGTCTGACATACTTTGAGCATGTTGTCAGGAGGGATCAGTCCTTGAAGACCATCATGCTTGGAAGGATAGAGGGACAGCACAAGAGAAGAAGACCCTGGAAATGAATCGCCAAAACCACAACTCAAAGGCATTGATTCTTCTTTGGTCTTACTTAGTCATTAGCCAATTTTTTTTCCTTCTTTTTTTTAATTATTAAATTTTATTAATTTTAATGAACATTTATAGAGATTTTGGGTTTTCATTCATTCATTGGTGCACTATTTTCTCTACCCTCCTCCCCAGTTTGTTCTTCTTCCCCCCCCCAAAAAGTCTGTTTTGTCTATTTGCCACAATGCTTGTCAAAGCCCGCTCTAATTAATCTCCTTTGTCAGTCTGTCCTTTGCCATTCCCTATCACTCCTCCCTGAGA